CCCTGGGGGGAAGCTCTAAGGCAAACTCACCCCCTCTGGATGAAGGGCTGTGGGAATCACCCATGTGTCAACCTTAATTCAGGGCTTGGGGTTCAAACCCCAGCATTTCAGTCACTCCCTGGGTAACCACACCAGCTCCAGGGCTTCTGTTCTTGAGGCCTTTTAAAGCTTGCTGGCTGTGCGAGCGTCTCTTTGGGAGTGGGGTCAAGTGTGGGGAGTCTGACCCTGTTAACTATAGCAGTGAACTTACATCCAAGGAAGGAGCATCAGGAGGGTGTAAGAGGAGCCCACACCCCCTGTGACTGTCTGGGTTGTGTCTCAGAACACTGCACCTCAGTGCTGCCTAGGTTTAAATCCTCTTGCCCAGAGGGTGTTGGGATGTCTGATGCTGTTGGCTCTGGAGTCTCACGCCTTTGAAAGTGAGGGTAGGAGAATAAGTAAGAATTAAGGAATGGAGAAACTGAGGCTTTGATGTGAGATTCTGCCAAACTGTTTTCCGTGACTGTCTGGGTTGTGTCTCAGAACACTGCACCTCAGTGCTGCCTAGGTTTAAATCCTCTTGCCCAGAGGGTGTTGGGATGTCTGATGCTGTTGGCTCTGGAGTCTCACGCCTTTGAAAGTGAGGGTAGGAGAATAAGTAAGAATTAAGGAATGGAGAAACTGAGGCTTTGATGTGAGATTCTGCCAAACTGTTTTCCAGTAGCACACGCCCAGCCAAGCTGTGCTACCTGTGTGTGCAGGACGTGCAGCTTTTATCTCTCTAGTCTTGACAGAAGCTTGGCTGGAGCTGAAAGGATTCAAGCAAGTGAAGAACCTTCAGTTCCAAGTGCTGTGCAGAGTCAGAACAACACGAGTATTTAAGTTGATAATTTTAGTCTCTGCAAGTCTTGCACTCAGCTGATGTGACTGTGGATATCACAGCTTGATGTGCATCACCTCCAGCTCTCTGGGCTGCCTTCCTAGTCCTTTTAGAACCATGTTCTCCCAATGAAAGGCCACGCTGATTTAACTGAAAGCTTCTTTTCCCCACAGCTTTTGACAGCCTATCTGGACTTGCAGCTGGGGAACTGCTATGTGATTCCCCTGAACACCTCCATTGTCATGCCACCCAGGAACCTGATGGATCTCTTTGCCAAGCTGGCGGTAGGTGGAGACCCCCTGGGTGGGTCCTGCTGAGGAGATGGCTCTGGGTCAGAGTGGGCTGGGTGTTGAGCTCTTGCTGCAACAGTCCTCTTGCCATCCAAGGACATAATCCCCTGGCTTGGTCACTGTACTGAAGCTGAGGCCAGCTGTCAGTGTATATTATGTTGAGCAGATCCATGCTTAATGCTCTTATTAATACCCAGCTTTATGAAAGCTGAAAGCAACTAGCAAATAAGGTTAAATTTAGCTATTGTAAAGGAATTTGAAAGCTCCATGTAGCATTGAAAGCCTAAACCTAGAAGTTACTACTGCAAAGCTTGTCCTGTGAGGGCTTGGATGAAAAGAACAATGCCAACTTGTTCTTCTCTCCTCTCAGCACTGTAGTGACAAGCTCACTTCACTGACTAAGACTGGTATTTTTCCAAGATGTCTTATCTTATGGGGTCAAGTTGATGGAGCTTGCTGCTGCTTTGAAATGAAATGCAGTGCTGAGCTATCGTGTGTCAAATGGGACTGCTCAGAATGGTCCTTGACTCCACCACACCTCGTGCTGGAGGCCACCTGATCTAGCTGAGCTGGTTCCTTTGGCTTCATGAAGCCTGAAGTGTCTCCCTGCCCACGCTTTGAGGAGTTGGCCGTGAGGGGAGAAGTCATTTCAGCAGTGCTGTGGTGGTGTAGACTTCACTTTTGTAGGTCTCACTGCTTTTTTTGGGTTGTATTGGAAGCATACTGCCTCAAATTTGGTAACTTTCATAGCACTTTCTCCTCTTAACTGCCAACTTTCTGTTGTGTACAAATAAACTTGAGCAGGTTCTGTTTGTTTTCTTCCAGTGAGGGAGCAATGTTGAGGTTAACTGTGGTTTGTTTGGCTGTAACTGCAACTGTTTGCTATAGCCTCTGTCAGTTTTTAACTTCTCTGGTATGCAGCTGTTGCAGACTAGCATATCTTAGCATGAATAAAAAAGAAAGAAGGCTGAGATCTGGTGCTTGAAGCCCTTCCAAAGCCGAGTAAAACGTGGTGGTGCTTGTCCATTGTTAGCAGAATGCTGCATCTCAAGGCTTTTTCTCCTTCAGACTGGCTCTTACCTGCCTCAGACCTACCTAGTCCGTGAGGAGATGGTGGTTACAGAGGAGATAGATAATGTGTCTGACCTGGGTATCTTCATCTACCAGCTCTGTGTTGGAAAAGAGACCTTCAGACTTCAGCGCAGAGACCAGATAACAGGTGAGTTCCCTTTGCTATTGTTCAGGTGGGGAAAGGGTCAATACTTAAACCTTTGGAGTTTTTAGACTTGGAAATTCTCCACAGCAACTGGGACTGCTTACAGAACTGGTGGGTGTTTTCCCCTGCTTTCAAGTATGTGTCTGAAGTCTCATTCAACTGCAATGAGAGAGTTTCAGTGACAAAAACTGGCTGCCTGCTCAAACCACATTGGAACTTAAGCCTGTTTCTGTTCCTCCTTTTGGTTGAAACTAAGTTTGCCCCCAGAATTTGTATAATCCACTTGATAATGTGAGTCTCTGGAGGTGCAGCTCAGTCTGTCACTGCCCTGCCTAAAACTGGGTTACAGGAGCACCAAGTGAAAACATGATATTCTAGTTCACTTGCTCTGGAACAGAAAAAAAAAGTTTGAAAAATAAAAATAGACCAGCTATCTCTGGACATCCCAGACTTCCTCTCTGAAAGAGGAAGAGCAGCTCACAGGAAGTTCTGGGCTCTGTTTTTGTTGCCTGTCTCCTGTTGCCACTCCCTGGACACCCCTTGGCAAGGATTGTCCCTGAGGGGGTGGATGGTTTGGTGGGAGGCCTGCAGGACAGAAAGCTGATGTTGTGAGTTGTAGTTTGCTGGAGTTGTCAAAGCATTTCAGAGGTTGCTGCTCTCACCAGGCACACAACAAGCCAACCCTCTGTCAGCTCCAGCCTTTCAGAATGCAAATGTTTGCTTTGTCAGAACTCTCTGCTCTGCTTTTCCTGCCAAGCTCTTAGGCAAGAGCTTCCTCAGCTCAGTTCCAGCACCAGGAGCCACGCTGCTGTTTGCTAGAGACTACATCCTGCTGCTGGATGGAAGGTGCTGGGGAGGGGCATAGAATTGGTCCTGACAGTGTGAGGCACGTGGAGGAACAGCAAGTGTTGCCTTTGTGAGAGGGAGAGACCTGGCTTCTGGTGAATGAACAGTGCTGCTTGGTGCAGCCTCTGCTCTGTAGCTGACCTCACTGGCCCTCAGGGAGGAGTGGGGTGGGAAATCTAACCCAGGTTGCTGCTGAGGAGAAAATTGGTCAGGGACAAAGCTTCTCTTGCCTTCCAGATGACATTTCTAGCAGCCTTTCTTCTAGTGTGCAGCAGCCCTGCCCATGTCAAGGATTAGACTAAACTGGAGAAACTCCTGTGACTTCTGTGGAGAAATCTTCCTGTTTAGTTGGTGCTGCACTGCCTGGCAGAGTTTGTAGGGTTCCTGTGTTAGAGCAAACTGACCTCACATTCTGAGACAGTGCCCTGGAGCTGGGGGCAGGGGAGAAAGCAGCCAGGTCATCCTGACTGACCAGTTCCATCCCCAGTTAGCCACTGGGAACTTCTCCCAGGCGTGGAGGCTGAGGTGAACTGGAGGGACAGCCTGTGTTTGAAGTGTTCACAGACTAAAGCAGTGCTCTGCTGAGTGTGGTTTGAGAGCTAGTGCTTCTGCATTTCCATGGGTACTTTCTCTTGCTTGCTCTGAACAACTCTCTGCTTATTAAGCTATAAATCTTTCTTCTCTCATCATTTGGTATTGAGATACTTTTGCTGAGCAGCTTGTTCATGGGGGCAGCACTACTAAGAGACAAGAACACAGTAAAGATTCACAGCTGATACAGGTCAACTGCCTGTGTCAGATCCAGGCCTGGCCTGTCCCAAAATAGAGAAAATCACTTTAATAGTGTTAGGATTTGTCACTCAGCTGATGGTTTTCCTCACAGGGCTCTGGGCAAGGTGAACAATCAGTGTTAATACACACTGGGGTGGGGGGGAAGTGCTGGTGAGGAGCTAGGAGGGGCTTTTTTCTTGACCCTTTTTGAGATTTTTTTTTTTTTTAAAACTTTCCCTGTCATTTCCACCTTGATTTTGGGGTTGGGAAGGGCTATGAGAAACTTTGCCATAAACTTGTCTCTTGAGTGTTCTGTCACTAAAACGATGGTCGGGATCCTTGAAACAAGCTCTCTGTTGCTTTGTATGTATATTATCATTCCCCTTTTGAAAACAGGGGAGGAGAACAAGCTGATCCCAAACCCTAGTGGCAATTCATGGCTGTAGAATAATCCATGTGCAGGATTATTGTGATTTCTTCCTGCTCCAAACCCAGGGGAACACTCGCCGCTGGGTGCTCGCTCTGTTTACTGAAGGTCTCCTCTTCTCTCACCCCCAGGTCTGCAGAAACGTTCAGTGGAGAACTGTCGTTCCATCAGACACTTTGAAAACTCTTTTGTTGTGGAAACAAAGATCTGCCAGCAGTGAGGGGTGAGGGGGGAGGGGACGAGTTGACACCTTCCCTCCAGAAGTCCCAGCGTGCGACGTCGACTTCTTAAATTAAAACGTGCAGTGATAATCAAAAGCCTTATGCATTTTCTGTGTACTGCTTGTGTTCCAGAAGACCCAAGTCACCATTTCAGCTTCCTTTGATCCCTGGTGTAACTTCTTAGTTGTTAAATTTGAGTAAGGTTGGGTTTTGGTTTGGTTTTGTTTGGTTTTTTTTTTGATTTAGAAGGTTACTATCAGTTTTTATCCGTTGGATGTGTTTGATTTAGTGTAATCTGGGAATGGCAGAAAAATATATATATATAGACACACAAATATTAACCAGTTCTTTAGCTGGTTCCAGTTCTGTTCACCTTAATTTTCACAGAATGCTGACTATTAATCCTCTGTGGTTTGCACACCTCGTGTAGTTGTGTAGGATAGCTCTGCACTCCTCACCCTGCCTACAAAAAAACCTTCACCAAAGGTTTATTTTAACTCCCCTGGTGTGAAGCATGTAAAAATCCAACCTCAGCAAGCATCACCCTTTAACACTACCCTGGTTTCATTTTGTGCAATTACTGTATTGAACCCATATGTATATTTGGAACCTCCCCCCCAGCTTACGTTGACTCCTCCTACCTTTGGTTTCGTGGTATTTGGTTGTTAGATTCCCCTGGAGTTGCTCTTCAAGCCTGTCAGTATTTTTAGTTTCCAGTTGGTTTATCCTGGAACTTCCTGTTTCAAGGGTTTGTTTTGGCATCGCTCACTCGTGGACGTGGCTGTAGTTGTAAACTTTCAACTCCTCTGGCTTATATAAACTTTTTAGATCCACTTTTTATGAGCAAGTAGAGTTACTACTGCAGTCAGAGCATTGTTCTTTTTGGGTTTTTCTTTTTTTTTTTTGAGAGCTGCAGTATAAAGATAATGAAGAGAGAGTGTTCTGCAGTTGATAAACTTGAGAGTTTTATTAAGGGACTTTATATTGGCATAAATTCTGCAACCCTATAATAAATGTTTCTCTAAAACTTGGGTGTTTGTGTGGTTTTTGTGGTGCTCAGAGGCAGGGGTGCAGCCTGCAGAGACCTTCCCTCTCCTCCTCACCTCTCTTGCAGTTTGTGGAGCTGGATTTCCTCTTCCCATTGCTGTGGAAATGGTTTGTGGTGCAGAACCAACTTGGGCAGAGGGAGAAGGAAACATCACACTTCCAACCTGACCCACAAGAAGGCTGAGAGCACTTCTGGCAGCATTAATAAGATCTTGAATCTTTTTAGCCTATCATTTAGACCAAGGCAGCAGGAGGGGAATCAACAGCTTGTTGTAACACCTTCCAGCACCTCAGAGCTGTGGGTGCCATGGTGAAATTCCTCCAGCTCCTTGCTCAAGGAGCTAAAGTGTGGCTTGAACCCTTCTGGCTTCCCTGGAAAGCACCTTTGGGTGGCAGAGCTGGAAGTGAAGCAGCAGGCAAAGCTGTCTGTGCAGGGAGAGAGGGGTTGGGGAGTGACTAGGAGTAGCTGCTCTCACTCATCATCTCTGAAACCACAGCAGGAGCTCTGCTGCCTTGGCTTGGGAGCCAGAGCAGGTCCTGCCGTGGTGCTGAGGCTGTGCCCCCAAACTGGAGCCTTGCTCTGCTCAGTAGGTGTGGGGCTGGACTGGACTAGAATGCTGTGGGAAGCTCTGTTGCCAAGTGGGAGTTGGGGATGCTTTGCTGAAGCTGGTGTGAGTTCCTGGGGGAAGGAGCTGCACTGACAAGTTCTCTGCTGGGTGCTTGGGTGAGATGCTGTCGTGGTGATCTCCTCCTCTTCCTCCTCCTGTCGTGGTGATCTCCTCCTCCTCCTCCTCCTCTGCATGGTCTGAGAGGATCATGAGGGTGGGTTGGCTGACTCCTTTGGTTTGGTACTTGAGTGGAAAGGTTTGGAGATGTAGTTGCAGAGAGCAAGAAGCCTCTTCTTGCTGTGCTGAGGTTTGGAAGGAAAGCAGGAGTTCCTCCTGCCACCTTTGAGTGGCCACCAGCTGGAGGCTCTCACTAGACAAGCCTTTAACCCTCTGGCTACCACAAGACACAGAACAGGAGCCTTGGACATCCCCCAGAGAGCCTGCAAGGCTTCCTCTGCCTTTTCTCTGCTAAAGATTTTAGAACTGAAGCCTTAAGAGCTCATTAGATGTTCTAGGCACCAAGCCCAGGTCCTCCAAGGGTCAGGTTGTTCCTACCTGCAGCCGAGGTCTCGGCCACGTGCTGGGCTGGCTGATCTGGCCCTAATCCCTGGGTCAGGGCTCTGCCAGCCTAAGGTCACTTCTGGGAAGAGTCATTGCTCCCAGCTCATGCCCTGCTCTGCCCCAGGAGCTCCTGATCCAGCTGCTGGGTGGGAAGCAGAAGGAGTGACCCAGGGGTGAGCTCTGCACCAGTAGGTGGCACAGGCAGCAAACACTTGGGCCTGACGTGGGTGTAACCAACCTACAAACAGCTTGGTGGAAGCTTCCTCTAGGTGGTGTTCAGTGGCTTTGCTTCATTTTGATCTCCAGGGAAGAACATTTTTCTCCTACAACCCTAACCTGAGTAAAAAGCCTGTTAATACCTGAGTAGGTCTGGTTGGGACACGGGTGTGGGACCTGCAGGGCTGCCAAGGGGCAGATGCAAACTGATTTCCCATGCTGGCTGCTGTTTACAGGCATGTCCTCTGCAAAAGCCACCAGTGTGCACAGCACCTTCAGCAGCAGTTGTGCACTTGAGGCTTGAGAAGCTCTCTTTATGCAGGTTACTCCTCTGACACAACATATTTAGCTGTAAGTTTGAAATCCCTTAATAACTGTTGAGCCAACAGTCCAGTGCTTTGCTTGGTTCCTTTCCCAGCATTCAGAGGGGGGTGTGTGTATTTTTTTTCCCCAAGTTAAAGTCCTCTAATCAGGAAGATCCATGAGAAGAATCACAATGAAGAACAAATTTGCCTTGGTGGGTTGGAGGAGATGCTGCTGACCTCTGCAGAAGCCTGGTGTGCCTGAGGGTGACTGGTGAGTTGTGGGCTGCTGGTGGTGTGTGACACACTTCCTTTAGTCTGCACTACAACTTCAGAGTTTCCTCCAGCCTGACTTGGTAAAAATTCACAGGAATTAAGGTATTTATATATCCAAATAATTTGAGATGAAGATCTAGGGAAGAAAAAATATGGACAGCGTGGAGACCTTTGAAAGCCAGACCAAGGTCTCAGCCTGCAGTGAAATAAAGCTTTAGCACCTCAGGCTTGAGGAAAAGTGAGACATTTTTCTCCATAAGCTCAACTCTGCCCCAGCGTGGAGACCTTTGAAAGCCAGACCAGTCTCAGCCTGCAATGAAATAGAGCTTTAGCACCTCAGGCTTGATGAAAAGTGAGACATTTTTCCCCATAAGCTCAACTCTGCCCTGTGGCAGCACAGTCACACTTCTCATGCTGGTGAAAAAGCTCTCACCTCCCACCCCCAGCAAAAGACACTCTGTGTGGGGGGATGCCTGGAGGACGAGGAGCCTGCTAGGACTGGGCTGACCTCTCTGGACTTCTTTAGCTCTTGGCATCACAGGGCAAGAAACCCAAAATAGCTCACCAGATGTGCCCAGCAAAATTGATGGGGAGTGATGGCAGAAATATCAGAGTGCTGAAATCAGCTCTGAATTTCCCTGAGAAAAAAATCCTGCTTTGCTATTTTTAAATCATCCTCCTGTGCCTGGGGTTGGTTCTTCCCTGGCTGCCTCTGCTCTGGCTGCAGCAGGGGGGGCCTGGATTGGGACAGTCCCCTCGACAGCAATCCAGCAGCTGCCAACTCTAGATTGATTTTATAGATGGATGCTTTTGTTGTTTGGTTTTGTCTGAAGCCCTCAGGAAGGCTGAAAAGAAAGAAAACACCGTGACGTTGAACTGAAGGCAACTTCCTCCACCCCACCACTTCCTCCTGCTGCATTTCACCTCCTGTCCTCCTAACTTGCCCCAAACTAGAAAACAAATTAACCCTAGAAGGGTGGAAAGCCTCTGTAGGGCCAGGTGAGTGCTGTGTGGTCCCTCTGTGGTGGCACAGGACAAGGCTGAGCTTGAGGTGAAGCTTTGGAGGATTAAAGCTGCTTTGCCCTGTCCTAATTCTGAGCTGTGGCTGGGGTGGCTTGGCTGCCAGCTATGGCACAGAGCCCCAGGGCTACCACTCATTGAAGCCTCCAGACTGCAGGCAAAGTAATTATCACAGGTGTAATTACAGTCACATCATTGCATTCAAATTATTTCTTCATTAATGGTTTGTATTTGGGATATTACCTTGGCAATATGAACGGGTGTTTTTCCTGCTAATTAAGGACTCTCCACCTAGTCCTCCAACTCCAAAGGGAAGGATTTCTTATAGCTCAACTATTTTGTTTACTTAAATGGATTTTTCTCTCTTTTTTTTGTATTGTGACAGCTCCAATTTCCACGTGAACAAACCTGAGAGTGAATTTCCTGGCTGGAAAAATCATCCTGCCTGCTGTGTGTCTGTCACAGAAGATTTAAGTTCTCCTCAGCTGTTCCCTTTTAGGCCTTGTGGATGTTTGAAGCCGTTCTGGGTTAGAGCCCACGTGTGGACACCTGACTGTGGAACAAACAACATCCTTCCTCCAAAACTAATCCCTGCTTGGACTGGAACCAGATGGTTTTAGGCTGGAGTGAGAGCGCCGGCGTGTGGGACTCCCCAGGGGTAGAGCCAGGGATGGATAAACCTCCAGTTCCCACTCCATGAACTTGGTGGGAGGAGGACCTGTAGGGATTTTGGTCCTGGGGGTGGTGGCATCAGTGGTAGCTGTGTGTTCTCACTGGAGGAGAAGTGATTCAGCACTTTGGCTTCATTCCACTTGCTGGTCTTAACTCCTTTGTCCTCACGTGTTCTCAGCCTCTTTCAGTAGTTAATCCTTAGCAAAATAAGAGGGATGGAGGATCCCCCATTCAGCCTCTGTGCCCAGAGTGGAACTGGAACCTCTTGTAGCTTTTGCCTCCTCCCATCATGGTCACAAACTCAAACTGGTGGGGTGGAGGAACCAGACCTTCCCAGAAAGCCAAGAGCAATGCTCCCCTGCTTCTGCTGAGCTGGGACTGCTGCCTTCCCACCCAGCTCTGCAGGGCTGAGCAGAAACAACAGCCTGCCTGCTGGTGTGGTACCTGTGCTCTGTGCTGGAGGCTCAAGTCCTTCCTGTCCCAAAT